TCAAAAGATGTCAAAAATGTATCGAAAATGCTAATGATCATGCGGAACCGCTATTGCAGCCGGAGTTTCCTAAACGACCATGGCAAAAACTAGCGTCCGACTTGTTTGAACTAAAAGGGCAAACGTACCTATTAGTTGTTGATTATTTTTCGAGATACATCGAGATAGCAAAATTGTCTAGCACAAGTTCTCAGTCCGTCGTGAATCATTTAAAGTCAATTTTTGCAAGACACGGAATACCGGAAACTTTTATTTCGGACGGTGGACCTCAATACAACTCATTAACATTCAAACAATTCGCGCAGTCGTATGGTTTTCGACACATAATGAGTAGTCCACGATTTGCCCAGTCAAACGGACTAGCGGAACGTAGCGTTCAAACTATTAAAAATATGCTAAAAAAATCAGACGACGAATATAATTCTTTACTTTCTTATAGAACAACACCGTTTGCTAATGGTTACAGCCCGGCAGAACTTTTGATGGGGCGTAAGCTAGGCACGTTGGTACCAGTCGCTCCGAAAAACCTCGCACCTAAATTGCCTAACACTCGCGAGTTGTTCAGAAAGGAAGATGAATATAAATTTAAACAAAAACAGTATTATGACAGACGACACCGAACGCGACCCTTTTCTAAAGTAAAAACAAACGATCGCGTTTGGGTTAAAGATCAAAGGAAACAGGGAATAATCAAAGCGGAATCTAATGAACCGCGTTCTTATATAATTGAAACTGACAGTGGCGAAATTCGTAGGAATCGGCGACACTTTTCAAATTTGCCTGAAAAGCCTGATACAAAAATTGCTAAAAATACTTTTGAAACAATCCCCGATGAAATACCAATTCACAATAATGAACTGAAAGATAACACAACAGATCAATCTGATAAAATCTGATTTGTATGTAACCAAGTCAGGGAGAATATCAAAACCTCTAGATAGGTTAGATTTGTAAACAAAGATCAGCTGTTCCATTCATGATAACATTTATTAGTAATTACTATACTTTCTCACAAGCTGAAAAGGGGAGATGTAATATTAAGTCAATGAACTATGGGTAATCCTATAGTCTGGGAAAACACCAAGGTCATCATGGCATCTGTTTACTATCAAATGTAAGTTCTTATCAAATCCTAACTGTTACTAGCTTTATATGAGAACTGTTTCCAGATCAACATCACTTGCGTGCTTTATACTTGACAAGTAAACATGTACAATGTATAGAGTATATATTTGCCTCGCCAATATAACACCATCTAATGTGACTTATCGCCGATTGTCTACTTGCAAAGAGAAAATAAGACAGTTGTCACTGGAAGATCCGGCTCTGATTATATGTAAAAAGTGAGTTCACTCCTGGTTTGTGGTGGGGTTTATGTTGCTCAATCTGTAGTTTTCGATCAGTCGGCATAATCAAATGCAAATAGCACGAATTTCATAATTTAATTAATACCTGAAAATTTTGAAAATGAGTAATTGTTTTAAGTATTATTTTTTATTTTATCCTACATTGTATGTTTTGCGTCATCAATAACATTTCGCCCATTTCTCGAACTTGTGATAAACTTAACCCTTAAATATCATTATGTTGAAATTATTTGAAGTTTCAATGTATAAACTCTTGAAGCAATAGGGTGTGTTTATCCCGGCCTTAACATAGAGCTATATTATTGAAATTGATGCGACTGTCGTACAAGTGAGAGGTTTAACGCTATAAAACCAGGTTCAATCCACCATTTTCTACATAAGAAAATGCCTGTACCAAGTCAGGAATATGACAGTTGTTGTCCATTCGTTTGATGTGTTAGTGCTTTTGATTTTGCCATTTGATAAGGGACTTTCCGTTTTGGATTTTCCTCGGAGTTCAGTATTTTTGTGTGATTTAACTTTTTACTTTTGTATGCTTCGTTAGGCATCGTTGTGACCTTATTATAGTTTAATCAATTCATTTTTAGCCTTGATTTTTGTTTTCAAACCGAAACATGTGTCTTTAGATTGTCTGTTTGTATTCTCGTATTTAAGGCGATTGCTATTGCTTAAAAATATTAAAACGATTGATTTTTTTATCGACAGCATATTTGCTCAGTTTGGATGATTAATGTCAAAACCGACAGTTGGTATTTCAGATGGTAAAAAATTTCAATATTTAAAGCCGACTTGTTCTTGTTTTATGAAATGGGAAACATGACTTATAGTGTATATCTCATAAGTACTCCGTTATTAGAAATAAGTTAGAAATTAAGTTTTCAACTCCCTCAACAAAATTGATTTACAATAGGTGAATTTGGCTATTCCCTTTATGTTCCTTTTGTCATATTGCTCCTTTTCAAGTATTTATATATCCTTGGCTTCCAAATTTTGAACTGAAACGTTCCTGATGAATGTGAACCCAAAAAGCTATTCGTTCCCACCAAATTATTTGAGTGTTATTTTCTTTTACTCTTATTGCACAAACATATATGTTTATATCTGACTAAAGCCACAGACCTATCTTCTGATGTTTGTAATGTTGCCAAAATTCGATATTGGTTTTTATGTTTTTACCTAACTCATTTGAATTCATATGCGAATACTATTATTGAACATTTGTTTATGAACCTTCAGTTATTTTTATCAATAATGGGTGTAGGATACGGTTTTGTACTCAAATAACTTGTTTGACCCCGCCACATGTACAAATTGCGTTCCCAAAATTAGAAACAATATCATTGGTTGTCTTTATTGATCTAGTTTCTAGAAGGTAACACCTAGTATTCAGCACTTCTCTGTGATTTTGCCTTTTAACTCTTTTTATTCGAGCGTTACTGATTAGGTCTTTGTTGACGAAACGAGCGTCTGGCATAAAGAATTTAAATCCTGCCAACAATGATGAGTTTATTGACATGAAGTATCATTGATATGGTCATGTTAATAATTTCACGGTTTACATAAATTTAGAATTTTTCGAAACACTACGGAATTTCTAATAGATTACCTTAGCTGTATTTGGTAAAACCATTCAACATTTTGGCAATGCACTTTAACTTCGTTCAGTAGTTTGCCTATTAACTTTTTTTTATTCAAATACCATTGATGAGTCTTTGCTGTCTCATCTACACAATCCACGTGTTTTTATTATTTAACCAGACATTTGGAGATATCCGCTTGCAATACAGCATGGATATCTACACATTATTGTATGGCCGTGTGGTAATCTCCAGAAAAATGTTTTTGGATTAAAATATGTGAACTTTGCAATTACCCTATTAATTCGTTGATTCCTTTTGATAATTATTCTACGAATTTGAATAATTTTTAAAAAACTGATTTACAAGTATATTGAAAGGTATCATGTATGGGAAGAAGAAAAAAATCCCGACCTATACTAAGGAGATAACTGAATTGTATTTTAAGCTTGGCTATCGTTAAACGTTGGTTTAACTGTCGCAAATTGAGTTTACATAGCGACCCGTAGCGGAGCTAGATAAATGGATATTTGCAACGGGAAAACAAGGTTTACGTAGGCTGTGCTTAAAATATATTGCGGTTATCTCAATTCTTCTGCAAAAAAAACCCCAACGCATTGCATTTCAACCATTCTTTTTAGTCGGAAAATAAAAAATTCCGAAGTATTTTGTTCCTGTTTTGAGGATCTAAACTTTCTTACGTCATCGATGTGCTTTCGGTGTATTTTTCGCTTTGTTTACGCTTCAAAATTGAAAAAAAAAATTACAAGGAGATTATCAGTTGAGAAATCTGACTATTTTGTTTCCAATCATATCCATCGATACAAAATAATTGCATCATATTTTTTTTAAATTAGCACAGAAAATGATGAGAAGTTAATTTGCCTATTGAATATAAAATTGAAACGTTTAACTCGCGATATATATGCAATACGAATGAAAGGTTAAATCATTTTAATCAATGCATAGAACATGTTACAACGAAGAATAAGTTCTAATTATGTTTTACTGTACCTTTAAAGAAAAAAAAGTTGCATCCAAAGTAAATTCTTATTGTAGATATCTCAGTACTTATTTGATAAAATGTAATCACTTAATTATCAAATGTTTGGTTTCCTTAGTTATTTTAAAATGTCAGGTTAAATACCACGCTTAAAGATAAAGGGATACCCGATTTGTATCCTCAAATGACATTTGGACAGTAACTGGATGTAACATATAGTGTGTATAAAATTTGAAAGCTAGGCACTACATGCCCATTTCCTTAACACTCATTTGAGAATTGTATACTAAAATGACATACAGCAATACAAATTCTTAATTTGGTAGAATACCTTAAAGAATCATATAAAAAGCGAAATTTTTATTACATTTTTTTCAAGAATCCACTCTGATTGAAGAAATCACTTTCTTAAGAAAGCTGTAAAAAGTCTTTGTATGGTTAAACTTGAAGTTTGCTATAAGTGATCACACTTTTGCAGTAGAACTAGAATGACTAAGGAATACTAATGATAAAAGAATTTATAAGTTTGTAAGGTAATGGACGACGAGCACTTTTCCCTATATTTTCAAACCAATCATAATATTAGAAATTAAATAAATGACAATATTGGGAAAAGTCATTCACATTCTAACAAAGCTTTACTCATTCGCAAATCTACAAAATATCTAAATTCCAGATATATTCTAAATATTTTTGAAATTGCGAAAATGAGATCCAAGTTGCTCAATTATATATACAAATTGATGTTTATGCAATAAATGAAAAATATACCTCTAATTTGCCAACTACAATACGAGTTGTTTGTACCTGGGGCACATTTGGTTCTTCTTCTGATAGCGAAAGAGAAAAATTGGATGGATAATTTGATATTTGGTGTTTAGTAAAACAGCGAATTGTTTAAGACAAAAGTATTGTGCATGTTGCTGGTAGTATTTTTTTTCTATTTGTTGAAGACAATAGGTGGCCATCCAGGTGCTGATACAATGCCGTTAATATTTTGTTTTATTTTTATGAGCTTATCATTAAATTTTGATCTTGATAAACACACAGGAACACAGAAAAACATTTTATTATAAAAAAAAATAATCAAGTTCATGGTTTCATTTTCCACACTTTGACATAATTCACTTTAAGTGCAGCATCTTCCCCTTCATTTTTGTCAGGATTCCATGTTGGATACCATTGATTTTTGGCTCGGTAGAAATCTCTGGTCGTGAAATCAGATTTATCACTCCACGGTTTGGCATTAGGTGTGTTTCTCCATGTGTCAGGGAAATAACCAACCCCACCAACAGCCACGTTCATAATCAAATAGAACTGGAAAAGATAGATTAAATAACTATATAACTATACTGTCCTAAAACTTCTCAATGATGCATACATTTCGTTTCTTAATTGAATCTCGCTATTGTTATGTTTACTCGTGATGTGAATTGAAGATTTCAGAATATATTCGATAAATAAAGGCAACAGTAGTATACCGCTGTTCGAAAACTCATAAATCGATAGAGATAAAAACAAATCCGGGTTACTAACTAAAACTGAGGGAAACGCATCAAATATAAGAGGAGAACAACGACACAACAAAAACACAACATTAAAATGTAACACACACAGAAACGAACTATAATATAACAATGGCCATTTTCCTGACTTGGTACAGGACATTTTAAGAAAAAAAATGGTGGGTTGAACCTGGTTTTGTGGCATGCCAAACCTCCGGCTTTTATGGCAACGTCAAACACAACACAAAAACGACAACATCACATGACAGGACCACAATACAAATAAATGGGAGAACATATAGGACAAAGAAACACACGAATAATAGCTAACAAAAGGTACTAGGCTTAAAATTCGATACGCCAGACGTGCGTCTCGTCCACACAAGACCAACCAGTGACGCTCAGATGAAAAAAGTTTGAAAGCCAAATCAAGTACAAAGCTGAAGAGCACCGAGGACCAAAATACATACATACTAAAAATGACTTGATCTCATATTGTCGTAAAGAATATAATGAAATATATTAATAGAGAAAAGCTCATACTTATAAAGTAAAAATTAGAATTAGTGATGAGACTCCCATCTCGACATTTTTCTGTTCTAAATTTACATTTCTCAGTTCCTACCTGTAATTCCTCGCTTCCAACTTGAAGGTTCTAATTTGACATATCAAGTTGACATTTCTGACTTCCAAGTGGATGTGTCTCATTTGCATTTTGATATTTCTCAGTTCGAAATTCGAAGTGAGAAATGCCAATTTGGAAGTGAGAAATTTCAAATTGGAAATGCGAAATGCCAAGTTTTAAATGAGAAAATTTTAACACCAGCCTGAATCCCCATACCTGTCTTTCGTAAATATATGTTGAAATTGTCAAATAGTAGTACTTCGTTTTGATATGAATCTACAGATGACGACACCCATCTACTACTCATGATGATGGTAGTATGTTCATGCACCTACATAGTCTTATTTCTACTTTAATTAAATATACCTCTTGGTCAAACGGTGCCATTTTTGAAGCTCCACGCCATGGATTTGTCATTCCTGGTTGGTTCTTATCAAATTCGCCTAACTCCCAGAATCCACCTTGTGGAGGAACAGTTTTTAAAATTTCTTCCCCATCAATTGTAAATCTGAATTTAGAAAGAATATACACTGAAATATGAGTATTTGAAAAATGAATGAAAAAATGGTAAGAGGTAGGATGTAGACCGTTTTATATAAACATCTGTACATAACAACTCAGTCAATGGATGGCAATATAACGTTTGTATAAAATAAACAGCCCTCATAGACTGAATATACTTTTCAAAAGGATAAAAATAAAATACTTGTAAAGAAAAGTGATGCGTTTTTTATCATCTGTGTATGTTGATTCTATTTTTACCTTTTACATTAATTATCTTTTTAACTTAATATAAACTAAAGTTCTCCGAGTAAATAAAAGATGAAATCTAGATAACCAAGTAATCCATTACGGTAGAAAATATCAATCTATGGTCATTGTTTCTTAAATTAACTTAACGGACTTTTTTTGTGGCTGAAACGCCAAATAGTTTGATATCATACTTATTGAATATATGTAAATGTACTTTACGTCGATGCCTCTGCAGGTGGACTGTCGCCGGCCAAGGAGCCAGTACTTCGGAACTGGCATGCAAATACGGATTTTGTTTTATTAAAATTTGCTGTTACAAAATTTTGGAAATCATTTTTAATTAAGGAATTTATCTCTCCATGCAAAGCTCTGATTCCTTGCCCGGCTTTGGCTATATATAGTGCAGAAACATTGGTGCCGTTAATGTTATTACCTAATCATTGTTTCATCCCATTCAACTGCAAACTTATGGAAGCTGTCTGAAAAGGTTCCAGTTGTCAAGTGCCTAAATGTAAAATACATTGTATGAAAGAGAGACAGCGATTTAATGTTAAGGGTATGATAAGTATGATAAATATTTTAATTAGGCAATACGATAAACAAAACAACATGAAAGTACGGAAATGTTTCCAATATCTGGTATCAACTTAGTATAAGCATGTTTATGTAAGGAAAAACAATGTTTGTAAAAAAAACCGGTCAACCACAATGTGCATTTAAGTGTAAGTATCTAATAGAAAGCAATTTAAAAACTCATGTTTAGTACACAATACGTTAATGGGAAAATTGATTTGAATTTTAAACTGATAACATAAAAGGAATTAATTCCAAATGTAACGCCCTCGAATATAACTTATCGCCGAATTTGTACTTACACGAGCAACACAACGGATGCCATATGTGGAACAAGATCTCTTCACCCTTTCGGAATACATGAAATCACCCCCGGATTTTGATGAGGTTCGTGTCGCTCAGTCTTAAGTTTTCTACGTTGTGTTCCGTAGACTGTTATTTGTTTTTTCGTTTTTTTATTTTGTTTTTTTGCCATGGCGTTGTCAGTTTGTCTCCGATTTATGAATTTAAATCTTCTTCTTACTTGTCTCGGTATTCTACTTATTTTGCGCCCATGCTTTTTTTATAAAAGTGTTAATTACTATTCTCAACGTGTATTCATTTACCACCTTCTTTTGCCCATGTGTTTTATTCTTTTATTGATGTGCTGCGTACTTTGTCCATTTGTTTCTTACATTTTGTCCATGTGCTACATATTTTTTGTCCACTAGCTTTTTACTTTTTCTACTTGGGCTACTTACTTTGATACATGTGCTACTTAGTTTTCTCTATTTGCTACTTACTTTTGCCCATGTATCACCTTCTTTTGTCCATGTGTTTCTTACCTTTTGTTCATGTCATACATACTTTTGACCATGTGTTAATAACTTTACTCCATATGCTACTTACTTTTCTCCATGTGCTTTTTCATACGGATCGAATGGAAATCCTGGACCGAAGTGAAGTGTACTACCGACAGAATCGTGACCCTGGCTGACGCCCTTATCATCATGGTAATTGATATTACCTAGGGAAAAGATTGAAATACTGTTTAGGTATGAAGTGACTCTACCTCTTTTTTAAAGAAATAATTCGTCCCGCCTTTATGTAATCCGTCAAAGACATTATAAGTGACAATCATCAGTGAATATTATTAGTCACACAATGTGCTAGTGACCTACTGTGGATTTATTATTATTCATGTGATACCAATTCTCGTAGATTTCGCTAGTACAGGTGAACCACGATTTTAAATGTTCAACGAAGTACAATTTTCTATAGGCTTGTACGGACCCCTTTGTAATACCACGAAATCAAATATCCGCGAAGATACATTTTTTTCTCAATCCACGAAAATTGGCACCAACGAAATTCAATGAATCCACAGTTATACGATATATACGGGGTGAGTACATTCCATATGTGACGAGAGCGAACGAAGCATTAGGTCACAAGCACACTGTGTAACGAATTTACCTCACCAACTATCTTAATAAGGGGAATCCAGACGTAGACTTTGATTATCCTTGATATCATAATTTAAACACAATATTAAACAAAACTATCAATTATTTAAAGTGTGAAAGTCGGTGTCTCTAAGACACGTTTGTGTCTAAAAGCATGAACAATATATAATTATGTATGTTTACAATGTTTGTTAATTTGAGAGCAGCAACGTATTTTTAAAGGAACGTAACTCTACTGCTAACCGTGTTAAACACGTCAACTGATCTAATATTAAATATATGCTGCGCCTCATGGTGTACTCTTTTCTAGCACCGGTGTAAAATTCCGTACAACCACACCTGATTACACCAAGATAACTAACAGTAAAGCTTCATTCGACGCTTGCAAAAAAAAATTCATCTTGCGTTAAGGTGCAAGCCCCTTAGTTTATCAATGAAAAGCAATTAAAGTGATATTTTTGTCGCAATATTTCATACAATTTGTCTTTCATGTACATCCATATGGCCACAGACCACAATTAAATTCCCCTATTAGTTCTTTATAACGTTTTGTTTCATTAAAAATATTGCACCTTGCATTTTTGTCAAATCTTTTGTGTGTATAATGTATAGTACTAGTCCAAAAATATATCCAAAATTCAGAAAGATTGAACCAATGACTCTTACAAATTTAGCCAATACACATCCATACCCCTATGGACAAGTCAAGAGATGTTCCGAAAACTGTAAATATCACCTTTTTGCACCTGGCCTAATCACTCTTTCCATATCAAAATCAGTTAAAATACAACATCCAAAAGATTATTTCACCTCTCTTCTTTTATTTCCACCAAAAAAAAAACTAAGAAATGAGTGAGGAAGGGAAAGAAAAAAAATTAAGAAAAAAATACACTCTAATTAAAAGGAACTATATTCGTGGACAACGAAAAGCGGGATCATTAATTGTGGTCTTGGGCCTATTAGGGGTCTAAAACTCGACCAATTCTAATAAAACTTGGCATGATTTGAGCTTAGTGTATTATAAAACAGTTTACAAAGTTTCAAAGCCATATGATACCAATTATAAAAAATGTGGCATTTTTTATATCTGAACTTTGGGTGCTGAATTGTGGCGTTGAATTAGAACAATTTCAACTATCAAATTTGGGCTTCTAAAAACCAAAATGTACCAAAACTTACATTTTTTAATGTTTCTATGTATAAGTTATCACCTATTAAAAGCAACAGATAGCATACTTCATGTTTCAGTCTTATAAAAAATGGCCAGAAGTAAATTTTATATGAGCCTGTGCCAAAAAATAGAGGTTTTCAAATAAATCGAGGCCTTATATGAAATGTAATATTTTTCACTTACCACAATTTTCTGAAGTTGTTAAGTTATAAAAACACCTTTTACATGTTATAAATGTACTTTTAATGGAAATATAAGTTTCAAATAGCATAACACATGTGAATAAAATGGTCTTCAGCAATGTCAAGCTTAAAAAAACAGGTTGTCAATTTAGGTCGTTCCCCACATTTGCATATTAAAAAGCATATAAATGATATGGTAGATAGAGATATGCTTCTTTTTGCTCAAATCTTTGTTTAGATATGATAAAACATGGAGCCTGGATGTAACATGATTGTCACTTTCAACTATATATGTAGACAGTATGATTTGATGCAAAGTTATTTACTTTACTTTTTAAAACCGGCATGAAATTCCAGCCTCAAAAGGCCAATATTTTAACCACTAGCTATCAAACAAAAGAAAATAAAGGTAGTCTGTGAAACAGACAAGGTCAAACAACCAGTAATAAGTGATTTTGATACAGATTCAGTGAAATCTGCTAAAAGGAATTCAACTTGTATGTGCATAGAACCTCATTTTTCACTTGCTTCATACTGACCGTTAGACTAAGACCATTAAAGCAGCACATTTTGCACTCTTATTCTGATTTTATCTACTTTTTTTTGTGTTCAGTGTTCAAAAATGAGTTAAACATCTACATTAGATACCACAAACACAAATAGAAAACCAGAAAAATCTGTCAGAGAGAAAGTAAGCATGCTACTTTTATAAAAATATTGAAACAACTGAAAAAGTTCAATTTTGGGCATGTAGGCTGAAATGTCACTTTTTTACAAAATTTCTATCAAATAAAAGTGGAAATCATTTATTCTCATGTAGTTTGACAAATTAATACACATAGATCATTCAGGGAAGTTGTCAAAGTACAAATTCAATATTTCCTGAATTCACCTCTTAGGCCACAGACCACAATTAAATTCCCCTATTAGTTCTTTATAACGTTTTGTTTCATTAAAAAAATTGCACCTTGCATTTTTGTCAAATCTTTTGTGTGTATAATGTATAGTACTAGTCCAAAAATATATCCAAAATTCAGAAAGATTGAACCAATGACTCTTACAAATTTAGCCAATATACATCCATACCCCTATGGACAAGTCAAGAGATGTTCCGAAAACTGTAAATATCACCTTTTTGCACCTGGCCTAATCACACTTTTCATATCAAAATCAGTTAAAATACAACATCCAAAAGATTATTTCACCTCTCTTCTTTTATTTCCACCCAAAAAAAATAAGAAATGAGTGAGGAAGGGAAAGAAAAAAAATTAAGAAAAAATACACTCTAATTAAAAGGAACTATATTCGTGGACAACGAAAAGCGGGATCATTAATTGTGGTCTTGGGCCATATCACATGGATTTTTTTTTCTAGTGAACGATAAATCAAGGAATAACTGTACACAGTCGTTAATTGACGAGGCAAATATCATCAAAACGATACACGATATTTCATATCTACTGGCAAACACACATACTAAATGGGATTAATTTTTCATTGTGATAACTGAAAGCTTATATATATATATATATATATATGTATCAATCTTCCAAATGGGCAAAAGAAAGAACATCTTTAACATTGTTTTTGTTATCATGAATTGAAACTGTACCTCTAGATTCCACAATGTCAATTTCTCCGGAGGCAGGCCACTGACCATAAGCATTCCATACTGGTAACATCCATATAGCTGGAAATTGAAATGATAACTTTTTGGAGAGTATATATCATACTAAGGAATTTGTAGAATAATGGTATTTACAGAGGTTTTACCCACAATTAAGTTATATAGCTATAAGAATTATTGTAATCTTCTTTAAATGTCTGTTTTCGTCATAGTAGCACTTTTCTCATTCCAAATATTATTTACAACACACAAATTCATTTTGAATAGCAATAAACATTTTTAACTTAATGGGGAATAATTGTATTTGTACACTATATATAGGTTGGTTTATGAAATTTATTCAGAAGTTCATTTTCCGATATAAGAGTATAACTAAATGCTTTGAAATGCCTCCTGAAGTCTTTTTAGTGTTTACATTGTTATTTGGCCGTCTCATAAATATATAACCGAATCCTCTTTCATTCATATATGGTGTATAAATTCATTTCCAACTTTCTAGGTTGTTATTGAAGAGTATTTTGTTTTAGAATAATACTGCTTTTCATGAATTTTATTAGAATGACAGATACTCGGATATGATTCCATGGGTGGCGTTTTAATACTTTCAGGAGACATCTAGCATTTATTGATTGATGTATCATCAGGTAGGATTAGATTAATTTCGTTTTGTTATTTCAACAAACATATACCTGGCCATATCCAATCTCCTGTAGGTATTTTAGCCTCGACTTCAACTTTTCCATATTTCATTGTGAAACCCCTGGTACTTCGTAATCTGGCAGATTGTATTGGGTTTATTGGATGGTCTGCTGTTCCGTCTCTTTTACAGCCCCACCACATATTGCTTGTACACATATCGCCACTAGAACCACCTATAACATACATAATATATTAGTAATAAAATATTTATTGGTAAATGTTTACATCTTGTTTTCCATAGATAATAATTGGTTCTGTTGCTGGGTATCATTGAAAACTGTATGGGCTGCAATATGTTAGGTTTATTTTAATATATTTATTTTTGGTTAATTTTGTCATCGGATTGCTGTCTCAATGCCATTTATTCTAAATCTCTTTTAACTCGTGTATTATCATGTTAGATTGATATCTTATTTGGGGGATGACCATTGTACTACATCGTGTTCTATTCAAACTTTCATTTAAAAAAATGTTTGTAGGAAAAACCCATTAGAAAGTGTAATGACTGATATTAATAAGTGATCAAAATTTGACAAATGTTATGATTAGTAGCATTGGTTGGTAGTCAATATTAAAAGACAATAGAGTTAAAGCTAGAAATCTATTTGTGATATTTTGTGCTGATTCCTATCTCATAATAAATCTTAGATCTTCTGACAGCAGTCTTATCTTAGAAGAAGACACTTTCACTGACGGCGCACTTTGTACCGCTCCGTTTGGAGTTCATGCAAATCCCTCAGTTTTTCTATTTGGATTTGTAAATGAAAATTGAATTTACGAGTTTTGAACATAAGTATTCTACTGTCTCCTCTAACTTGCATTCATATGCTTGAATATGAATAAATTGGGTGATATGAAAGAAACCACCTTAGATTGTGTAGTATAAAAACTGCAAAACATTTCAATTCAAGCAATATCCAATGCATATTTCATGTTCCAAATATGACTCTATTGTCAGAAAATGTCACCGATTTCATTTTTTAACAGTTGAAGGCCAAAACTACGTCTTAAGTAAAAATAAGGTACAGTATACATACATTTTGTATTTATGAAAATGACTTATATTCTGTTATGGACAAATGTCTCAAATTTCTCTTCCTTTCCGCCACTCATTTATCACTAAATGATTTTATTATCTCGACTAGACTGATTGTTCTCGCAAAATTAAAAAACGCTTATGTTCAATACCTTTGTGTAGGTAATGCATTTTTATTTTGATGCCAAACCACTTATTTAATTTAACAAAATGACAACAACCGAACTATAATTGTTAATGTTGCGTCTTAAGCTTTTGGCATCAAGCATTTCTTCTGAATTTCATTCTAAGCCTATGTATTTTATCCAAAAAAAAATATAAGTATAATGCATTGGTTACATAACCTCATTAAGTAAAATTTGTCTTACCCCACAGTTCCAAGCTACCACTTGTGAGAAATTTTTCTCCATAATGGTCTGATGTTAGTGTCTGTTGAAGAGAAATTGTAATCTATATAACTATTTAATTAATCATTACCAAACTTAAAGCTCTGTTTTAAGTTTTGTTGGAAAAGAAACAGCTTAGTAAACTCTCATCTAAAACTTATTCCTTACTTATGATTTAAATGATTTAATTCGTAAAACAGAAAACAAATTTATGCTTACTTATGTCAAGTATAATTTTGTTACAATCTCATCAAGTTTTCTTGAGAGCTTTCCATATTCATATAATTTTCCTTCATTACATTAAAAATGGATAGTTTTTCTAAGTATATTAGTTAGAGAAGAAATCCGTTTATAAAAACGTTTCAAATTATGAATTAATGTATTACCGGTTTGATAAACAGTGTCCCATCTTTTACATAACTGTTGGATCTGTTGTTGGTGTAGTATTGAAATTCCCAGTTCTACAACACAAAACAAATTTATATGATGATACATATTACAAAGAAATTCAAATGTCCGATGATCGATGTCACTGGTTTTGATTTTTCTATGAAGTCTTGGTTGTTCCCACTTAGAGATAATCCAAACGTTCAAGAGTACAAAATTACATAAACATACTGCATGTCATATGTTTAACACTGTGATGATATTGCTTTTTTGTCTCATTAGTGACCTATATATCCTCTTAATTAACCCAATATGAATAATTACCATATTATTTTGGTTAATGGAAAACAACTCTCATGTTAAAGATTCAATCGCTCATTACAAAGCATGAAACACAAATTAGATTCCATAAACCAGTCAGTTACTATAGAATTATATGCGACTGTCATACAAGTGAGAGGTTTAGCTAGCTATAAAACCCGGTTTAATATTTTATGCATAAGGCAATGTCTGTACCAAGTCAAGAATATGACAGTTGCTTTCCATTCGTTTGATGTATTTAAGCTTTTGATTTTGCCATTTGATAACGGAGTTTACTTTTTGAATTGTACTTGGATTTCGGTATATTTATTATTTTACTTTTTACTCCAAAATGGCTGTTATTATTGATATTTGATATTGTGAATATCTTAGCACAAACATTAACATTTCAGTTCCTTGTGAAATTAGAAGAGACGAAATCGTGACCAAATACTCACACCACCACCGCTCGCTGTAATCTCATGCTCCCATGTAGAGAAATCCAAAGTGTTGAAATCGTCCTCAAATATCAAACATGGATACGATTGGCAATTAACTGTATTACCTGTAAAATATGAGTAAGACAATATTTAGATAATACTACAAGTATTGTAGGGTATTCTCGAAAAAGAAATAGTGCCTTCAAGTTGATTTAATTACAAATTCTTACCATATTGTATGTCGTCATAGACCAGGTTCATTTTGTAAAATGGTTATTTAATTAAAATTCAGACACAAAAACGGGTAACCTGTTTTTAATGACGTTACAAATTTAGAAATTTAATAACAATTAAAGGGTATATCTTAATCGTAATCGAATGCGTATCAATACATCTTTGTGACGTTTTTCAAGTGGTTTTTTTTATACATAGTATAATACAATTATAAAATATATAAAATATATTACAGAATATGAAACAATTAAAAAAAAGGTAAACCACTACATACAAAAATGCCCAATTTGAGTTTATAACATCAAAGGAGAAACGCAACCGAACTCCAAAATAAATTCAAAAAGGGGAGTTCATAAAAACTAACAAAATCAAACGTATCAACCAACGGAACGAGAAAAAAAACCAACTATTATTGACTTGGTACAGGTATTTTCCTAAGAAAATGGTGAGTTAAACCTGGTTTTATAGCTAGCTTAACCTCCCACTTGTATGACAGTTGTTTATAGTTCCGTTTTACTGACAAAATTAGGTGAGCAACCCAAACAGACATAATTGATTAAAGCAGATTGTTTCCCGTAAAAATATGTTTTGTCTTTCTGTGCACCAGCATCCTGTTGTTAACAACTACATTCAATGGCCAATGTCTTCTGATACGACCAGCAAAATGAACATTTTCAAGGTTTTCTTAGTTTTTTAGAGTCTTGACAACCCATATGTTTTTTTTCCTACGCTACATTGTCTCTCTAACTTTTTAATAATTGTTTCAATGACTTCTTTGTGCTTTTTATCCTGTTGTTTTTGATTTTTGTACAAAATCATAAAATTAAAAAAAATATAATGATGCCAATTACATGATAATGTTAATTATCTTTAATTCAAATACTGTAAATTTAAAAATTATTCCGAGCATTCCTTATTGCGATTTTGTCATAATCAACCAAAATTCGAGATTCATTATTGCTATTTCAGGATAAAAGAGGGACGAAAGATACCAGAGGGACAGTCAAACTCACAGATCGAAAACAAACTGACAACGCCATGGCCAAAGATAAGCTGCATACAGATATATGTATCAAATACAATAATGCGTTCTTATTATTACGATACTCTCCAAGTCGCACTATTCGCATTTATAATAACCTCGCAAAATTTACAAAATTTAGTTTTATGTTACATTTTTTTTTTATTATTCCTGTAATCTTGATTTGTTACATTGACTTAAATATCTTATTATTGTTTAGGCTATGTGATCTGTATGACATTATCCGTTAGAGGAGTGTCAACAGTTTAATCAGGGTTTTCTTTTGGTGCATGATGGTATCTTAATGCTTACCTCTACTAGGACCATGATATTGTGATCCACCAACGACGAAACCAGATCCAGACATACCACCTCCGACGGCACCTCCAGAACTTCCGTTTTGACTTCCTTTGTGTAAACTTCCGGATGTTCCAACGGAAGATGTCACCCCTGTTGATAATCCAGCTGTTTTGTGGTCGCTATTAGAACTTACACCACCGCTACCACTTTGGGTTGGAGAAGGCGTTCCAACTGGTTTATTTGTGACAATCGGTTGAGGAGTGGTAGGTTTTGGTGTAGTTGTAGTAGGTCGTTGAGTAGTTGTGTGATCAGCTAAAAATTGATATAATAAGAAATGGATTTCCATGATTGAAAAAAGGCGAAAGATAATTAGGGGACATTCAAAACTCATACTAGTAAGAAAACAAACCTGACAAATCTAAAACAAAAAACCAAAAACGACGAAATGACGAACAAGTCCACAAAACATTACTTAGAAAACTGAAAATTGAGCAACACTAACCTCACCATAAACCGAGTGTAACTCAGGTGCTCCGGTAGGTTAAAGTAGGTAAATGTTCAAATTAACCGCAAGATGAGCTTCTCCTCCTACTCCAATGAAGTTGTTTTCAATGTAATAACCTGCGTTTCGATTGGAGAAAAAAAATCGTTTACTAATAATACTGTTTATGATAAAAGAAATAAAGCAATGAAAAACATAATCAGGCTATAAAATTGTAGGATATCAAAAACATGAATCATTACTTTTTAACGTTTTGATTCGAGCATCACTGATGAGTCTTATGTAGACGCAACGCGCGTCTGGCGAAAAAAATTTCAATCCTGGTATCTATGATGAGGTTATTTACTTACATATTATGGTGGCGCTTAAATCTGTTTGTGTCTCCCCTCGTCCATTCTTCTCTCCCCATAACCAATAGTGTATCGTATCTCCTTCTTTAGCCTGAGTGGTACTTTGCCATTCAAAGAAACCACCTATATCGATAAACATATTGTTACGTCTTTACCTCCAATCGATGAAAATAATATCAGAAATTTATTTGTTAAATATCTAATTCAAGAGATTTTAAACTGAGTTTTTCCACCCTAATGATACAGCCTGTTAAAATTGTATTCGATTCATGATATCGTTTTTTGTTAAGTATGTAATTTGTTTTGATTTAAGTACGAATAAAAAGTAAGATTCATGAGATGATTAGGAACAGGGTTAGGATAAGGTTAGAAAAAGATATCAAATAGGGTACGTGTACGAATGTGGGTAAGTAACACTATAAGAACACCGAACACCTGAAATAAAAACTGTCCTCCTATTATTCTAATAGGTTGTATTCAATTAACTATGTGTAGATGTGTTCATTCAGTAGAATTTGTCCCCATGCTTGTTATATATAGATATAAGAAGATGTGGTATGAGTGCCAATGAGACAACTCTCCATCTAAGTCAAAATTATAAAAGTAAACCATTATAGGTCAAAGTACGGTCTTCAACACGGACCCTTGGCTCACACCGAACAGCAAGCTATAAAGGGCCCCAAAAAATTACTAGTGTAAAACCATTCAAACGGGAAAACCAACCGTCTAATCTATATAAAAAACGAGATACGAGAAACACTTATGAACCACATCAACAAACGACAACTACTGAACATCAGATTCCTGACTTAGGACAGGTGTAAACAATTGCAGCGGGTTTAAACGTTTTAATGGTACCAAACCTTCACCCTTATCTGAAACAATAGTGTAACATATGCCCATATATTTTACATTTATTAGTTTTGAATTGTAGACAGAAATAAATACTTTTTTTCATATTCCACGATTCAACTCAACAAAAATAATGCAATAAATGTATCTATGCAGAAGAAAGCATTTCTATAGTCATAAATGTCATGACACTAAAATGAACGCCACATACACGCAAGGAACCCAAGTGGTAAGAACAATTACGCTTTCTACACAAATAGAAGATAAAATATTACAGTCTCGTATGGCTGTCTTTAAATCACAAATAATTACATTCTATAAATCTTTGATTACAAATGTTTAGTCTATCAGATATTATGAGATTTTCTCCCTACTTATTTCATATTTACATCTTCCAAACATTAATTGTATTTATACGTATCATAAAAATGTAATTGGTTTTGCTACAGAGCTTCCCGTATATATATATATATATATATAGGTTTTTCTTTGATGAAAGATTTTGACCTGTTTAAATGCATTTTTAGTTCATTTTTGATCGTTCACTGTTTTATTTAACCACGACCTCTTTGCATAGAACATTGTAGATGATATTCAAATTACATGCATGCTGATCAAATCCTTGTGGAATCGGTACTATGCAATTAGATTATCGATATCATAAGTAGGAAATGATTGTTTTGTTATTTAAGGTTGAAATAATTACTCTAACAATGCCCTCTCATTAAGGTATTTACCATTCTTTGTGACTAAATCGTGTCCAAATCTTGACCCTGTAACACCTGGCAAATCCTGATTTACGTTGTAATGTATAGCAACTCTTGAATAACCATCCGCTGGAAAAAATAAGTTAGTATTTGAATGAAAACAAATTGTAGCATTCTATCTTCATTAAGAGATCGTGAAAAAACGTTGAATGAGAATTATTAATTGTTCCAGTAAACAGTATCAACATTAGACTACGAAAACAAACATAGAACTACTAATAGGTATTTATAGTCTTAAATGTACCAATTAATAGTTTTCAATAACCATCCTTCATTCCAATACTGCAATTTGAGAACAAGTTCTTGTAGAGCAATCTGAGTTCCCGTTTAAAGAGAGAATACTGGGACAATAAATTTTTCGGATTAAACATGGTAATGGTTCATTTGAAATTCATAATGTAGCCGATTCTTTCTAGAATGTGTAGAAAAAAGCATTTCTAGTTTACCCTAAAAAAATCGAATGTTAAAGATTACTCCTTCATGCTATATTTCCTTCTAAGTTAGTAATCATATAAGAAACCAGCAAAAACACAGGTAGTATAAATAAGATATACCAGTAGTTCCCATTGTCTCCTCCGTCAACCTCCATGCGAACCCAGCCTCAGCGACAAGGAAGATAAGAAAATCGATATTTATAGATCAGACGACTGTACTGGTGTATTAAGATTTAAAACGGCGAAAAATTGTCTCTCTTGAGCTGAGACGCAGACATATCGTATCAATAAAACAATGCATGATGATAACGGTAAAACTTGTTTAGCGCCGATTTTCCTCATACTTAAACATTCCCCCGAAAATGAAGCAAATATAATATGAGAGTGTACTCGCGTCACCTACTAATTCACATGTATGTAAAGGCCATACGATGGGACTGAAGGTATGTTACTTCTTAGAAATGTGAAGATAAAAACAAAGTACTACCCAGTCAAACACGATCTATGAAAACAATTAATCAACTAATAAAAAAAAATTAAAATTAAAAAACCCTGAAGTTTATGGTTCAGTAAACACACCAGTAAGTTTAAAAAAAATGCATTTAATCCTTAAAAATCTTTTTTCTATTCATTTGTTTTTTTTTTTTTTTTTTGTTTGTTAACAAATTGTCATTTGTAAAAATAGTCACAACTTGTAATAGTTACATGTTTTTATTGTTCACAGTCTGTGAAAACTTTTACTTCTTGCAACGCTTGTAACCAATAAAAAAATGTATTTCCGACAATACAATCACAAAAAAAAAAATAGTTACTGTTAACGTTTGTGTTACTTTTTTACCAAGTACTCTGACCCTTGAAATATAAAAGCTGGTATATAAACTATCTTCCTCAGACGCACCCGACCTCGATTCTTATTGGAGTGCATGCGATTCCCTCAGTTTTTGTTACATCTGTAGACTGCGGTTTTCTCAAATTTGGTATGGAATACTTTTTGACTGAAATCCTGATTGTAAAGTGAAATACGAAAATCAACAAATCGTAGAGCATTCAAAAACAATTATTCATATCTCCACTAATTCATATATTAGAATATGGTACCGTTTCCAATTTAATAGTAAAAATAATATTATTAATTTATACTGACCAGGAATTTTCACTTTCATTTGACCTGATGGTGATAGTGTAAACTCTGCGGGACCAAGTGCATTACTAACTCCCAGCATACAAAGGAGCAATAACGTCCACATATCTGCCTATATACATATCAAAATTGTTAATCACAGTACATGTAATATGACTATTGTTTTTTGTTGTTGGAAATAATTGTCTCTGTGTCTTTCATTGTCTTTCATTGTCAACATTTCTTTACTTCTATCCCCCACTGGCTCAACGTTTCTACCGCTTTCCACGTTTGTTGTTACCATACTCATACATGTCTTCAGCAAAATTTTGCAGAACTTTATTAAATATGTGATTTTGAAATTCCGTCATTATTGATTTGGCCATATACCCGTTCTAAATTGAGCGCCACCGATGAGTCTTGTGTCGACCAAACCAACCGTTTGGTGTATTAAAAGACTATGCACTTGCCACATGGAGTTACACAATACAAGGGTGTAACTTTTAAAAAAAAGAAATCATAGAAATCAAATACACAATACAAACAATGAGAAAATGAAATTATACAATACCATAGCCTACAGAAAAGATAACAGAAAAATCCAAAAAGTTGTGCCAATACGACTACATAAGACTCATCATCGGCGCATAAATCAAAATAGCCGGAAAGCCAAATCAAATACAAGGTTGAAAAGCATTAATAACAGACAAATTAGAAAAAGTTGTGCCAATACGGCTGAGGTAATCTGTACCTGTGGGTAGAAAAACCTTAGTGTTTTGAATATTTCATAAAAACACCTTATTTCCAATTCTGTAAGATAGAGGCTTTAATATATGCATCATTCTGACATCTTTAATTGAAGAAACTCATTGATAAAGCGAAACGTTAAAATCAAAAGGTAAACTAAGCTATATCAAATATTGAATATCTAATCAATGCATGATCAAATGATATGTACAGGCTAGTACTTACTCTATCCAGAATTCCGTTTCAACTGTACATACGTAAGTATGTTATCTATTTACGTACTATCAGTCTTATCTTATACGGAATATATTGACACGTGACTATAATATACATTTTAGGTATCAAGAACGTCTAGGTCTAAATGCCCTTCAGCCGTACACAATCACATGCATGTTTTGAAGATACTAGACTACCTTTAACAATTCTTCCTTATATGTGCAAAGTGAATTCAGTATTTCATTGCAAACAGCAAATAATGATCAAAGATGTTGGATAAACTTTAATGTTAGAGTAAAAGAGTTAAAAGTAAAGGTTTTCTTCTGAAAAAGTATAACACAAATACTAAACTCCAAGGCAAATTCAAAAAGAGGAGGGGATTAAATCTGATTGTATAGCTTGCTAAACCTTCCACTTTTATGACTATTGTTAAAAAAGATATTGTACGTCTGATGAACTAAAATTCAGTTCTGAACCGCAGCAAAACAAGCAGTAAAATAACAGTTTATAGTTCACTACTGATTTGAATTGGATATTGTAATCGTTCAATATAGACTAGATATCAGTACTTCAGTACTAACAAAATTTTATAGATATAGTCTAATTGTTAGAATGCACCGAAACCCAAGGTATTATTATTATTTTATCCTTTAATCAATTAACAGAAGAGCTTTATTTTCTCAGCATTTTAAACCAACTAATTTTCAAGTTGCCTTAGTTCTTGTACAACATGTTTCTTATATTAATACAAGAAAATAAGGGGATATATATCGATAAGACAGCAATACCCAGCATATTGGTCATTCACTATACTCGGTATTCGGAGTTTACACCTTGTGCCAGAAGTCCCAAATCAAACCTGTTTATAATCTTACCTACGATTGTGTCCTTAGTTTTCAAATAAGTGTTTTTCAAACTGTTGTTTGTCTTTTTGTTTTGTTTTTTTTCGGTTTTTGTCCTTATTATGTTTATAACTGTAAAGAGGTCAATATATTCGTTATATCATGGAAACATTATAAGTATAGATAAGGAGGTAAACTATGTGTTGTGTACTGAATTCTATTGTTCTATAGTTTTATATTTTATGTACAAATATTTCAAATGTGAGCATTAAGGTCTTTTTAATTCATAATCTGATTTAAATAATGTTTAGTGAAAAAATATATCAATAAACTAGAGGTTCCATGGAGCTAGTGTCGCTCACCTGATATTTTGAATACAATGAACACAATGTAACAATGATATTTGGGATTAAATGAAACTTTGCTTGCCAAAATCCTGTCTTATTGGGCATTTTTAAGGAGTTGATTTCATACTTTATTTGGTCTTTTAACTTTTTTGATTCGATCGTCACTAATGAGTTTTCTGTAGACGAAACGCGCGTCTAGCATACAATATTTTACGGCTGGTAGCTGTGTTTTTAATATTGCCATATGAGCAGGAGGTTTTGTCATAAAACCAGTTTTAACCCACCATATTTACTTAAAATGTCCTGTACCAAGTCAGGAATATGGCAGTTGTTATCACACAGTCCGTTGGCGTTTGCTTTTGTTGTATTTCAGTGTTCCTGTTGTTCCGTTGTTTTCCTCTTATAGTAGATATATTTTCCTCGGTTTTAGTTTGTTAACCGGATTTGTTTTTGCTTAATCGAATTATGACTATTGAACAGCGGTATTCTATTTGCCTTTATTTGCAGCTGGTATCTATGATGAGTTTACTGACTAATGATTTGACCATTTTGATAAATAAATAACACTTCATAGATTTGGTGCATCCGATTCGTCTTTTTGGATTTACCTTCATCGGAAACACTGAAACTGAAACATTAAACAGCTAGGGAGATAATAGCAAAAAAAGCTAAACATTGGTAAATTTGTCTATTTATGTAGATAATTCCAATAAGAAGACAGCTGACTATTTCGGTCATATTGACCTATTTGTATATCTCTAATCTTGCTAATAATTGATGCAATATAAAGTGCGTTTTCTAATTACTATAATTTTCAGAAAACATTGTTTTCAGGACGAAAACTCCGTTAAGAAGTCGACTAACCATTTTTGCCTTGTAAACTTATTTGTAGATCTTATCTTGTTCACCTTGTCTGCAAAAAATGCCAAAATACGCCAAATCGTCATTAAAGAATCATAACTTTGCTAAGGACACGACTGGCAAAACGCTATTAAACCAAGAGTTCTTAGTGGTGAAGTTGGAATCATCCCTTGGAAAATTTTATGGACGGTATCACGAGTTGGTTGAACATTATGGAATATCTGTTTCACAGATGACGACGGACATGCTGCAATTGTCGTAAACTCAATCCAGTCCTCTTTTCCTCGAATGTGACGTACCGAATTAGACTTATCACCGGGGTTTTACTTACATGAGAAACACAACGGGTACCACGTGTAGAGCAAGATCTGCTTAACCTTCCGGAGCACCTGAGATTTACCCCCGGTTTTGATGGGTTTCGTGTTGCTCAGTCTTAAGTTTTGTTTGTTATGTTTTGTATATGTTCTATGTCTTTTGATCTTTTTCGTTTTTTGCCATGTCGTTGTCAGTTTATTTTCCGCTTATGAGTTTTTAAAATGTCCCTTTGGTATCTTTCACCTCACATTTATAAGTATGAATCATCTGCAATAATGTTCAGTCAAATCACAAATAATACATGTAAAAATATCTTGCTTTACGCGTACTTATATATCTTATATCGCTGTCATAAGAGTATTGATTATGGTTTCCATGTTTGTTTTATAATGTTGTGGTTTATTTAAATAAAAGTAACTTTGAAACCATATATGTATTAAAGTGTTATATTTTAATAGTAATCAAAAACTCTCTCTCTCTCTCTCTCTCTCTCTCTCTCTCTCTCTCTCTCTCTCTCTCATATCTTTTCATTTAATTCCTTCGGGTCACCATATAATTTATTCTGAACCTCTCTGAACTCAAGCTGTTTGCATTTGGAGATTTCAAATCTTTCCCTATGGTAAAGTGCTTTGTCCTTGTTTAAAACCATTGGACGACATTAAGATGTTTATTTGAAAAGAGATAATATTATTAGCTTTGGTTTCTCGATGACGAAGGAACTGGTTAGTACAGGAAACTTCCTGTAAAGAAAGTTGATCTATTGGATAAGATTGAACTTTTACGATTAAGCTATATCATGTCAAGATGGAAAACGTGAGATTATACGTATACATTATACATTTACACATGCAATGTGTCACTGGATATAAATAACTGAAAAGTTAAATGTATTAAATATTCAGAACTAAGATAGAAAATACGAAATATAACTGGCTTATAATTCGACAGTTATGCTCTTAGTCTGCACTTATATCATAAGCTGCACTCAATCAAAACAACAGTAAGGCCGTAATTCCATATGATCTACTGCCATCGCTTTGCTCTGTCGTCATCTGTCATCTTTTAAATCAGATTCTTTGAAACTGTTAAAGGATTGGCACCCAACTCGATCAAAATCATCATTGCAGTATCTAATATTTCATCGACCAGAAACACTACCACTGATACTAAACGTTAAACACAATCGCTGTGTTAAACAGCCACGTTTACTTTATATCTTAAAACTGAAACAATCGAAGCAACTAGACAAACTAAATTAGCTTATGAATCCAGCTTTAGATTTTTTTGAGAAATCGGGCAGCCCATTTTTGAGTACTAGTAATTGCAAGTGAAATGTCCATTTTCATATGATGCAGTTTTGGGGGCTAGAAATAGTAGATAGTGCAATTATCTTGAAAACTGCATTAGATGGAGAGAAACTGTAAACAAGAAAAATGATCAGCAATATATGATCTACAAGACACAAATGTGATGAAAATTTTCAAATTAATCATTTTGGATGTTATTGTCCGCAAATTACTTGAAAATGTTGATAAATCATTCTCCAAAATTGATCTGGATTAAACCTGGTTACAAAAAAATGAAAACAACACGTTATAAATTGCATGCTTTTCTGGATTTACCTTCACCAGGAACGCTCAAAGTCAAATATCTGAAAGCCAAGGATGAATAAGAACTTAAACAGTGGAAGAGCTATATTACCAAAAAAGGCCTACAAAAATAGCCAAATCCATCTAAGGTCAACTTTGCATGAGGGAGTTGAAACCTTAGTTTATGATAATTTCAAAATTAATTAACGGACAATTTTAGAAAGGTTTGTTATAAATCATGTCAGTACCGAAGTATTGCCTACTGAGTTGATGTTACAATCTAACCTAAGATTGTGTACTTAGTTTTCAATAAAGTGTTTTGTAAACTGTTGTTTGTCTTTTTTTCGTTTGTCGGTTTTCCCCCATATAACATCGGTTTATCTTCGACTCATGAACTTTGATTGTCCGTTTGGTATCTTCAGTCTCATTCTTGTGAGTGAAAGATAGATCCCACTGTTAATAATTAGAATGATATTTTTTATTCAGGCTCCTGGAAGCCTTAACTTAGGTTATGAACAATAAGTTTACAAAACATGACAGGAATGCTATCTACTGAGCTGGTGATACCTATGGGAACGAAACATGGAGTGGTTGTAAAAGTTAATTAATAGAAAGCCTTTTATAGCATACGTGTAATGTTTTACACGAAAGAAAAACAAATGCACACTTTAATGATAGTTTAAAGCCAAAATTAAAAGATAGATACTACAATACAAAAACATGTAAAGATATTAAAGACACCTATCACAATGACACTGATTTTCAATGCTGTTTCAACTTTGTACTTTATTTGGCCTTTTTAACTTTTGCAATTTGAGCGTTCCTGGTGAGTCTTTAGAAGACAAAACGCGAGATAAAAAGGACAAATCTTTATTTTGAATAAATGCTATGTTGGAATAGTGTAAATAGCAACCGAAAAACACAAAGACCAATAAGAAACTTAGAGGTCAACATACAGTTTTTACCAAATAGGCAAGTGTCTATACAGCATGTCAAGTTTTACATCAGCAGGGAATTTATTGTTAATAACTATAACCGAGACTGCAGATGATGGTCTGCTATCAAT